GTGAGTTAGGTTTTCTTTTTAGTGTTATAACAATGTACAAAGAAGCCCTGAAAGGCTTTTTTTTTCTTTATTTTTGTCTCAAAGATTTATGTTTGCTTTTTCTTCTAGAAATTCAGGCTCTAAGTAGTGCTGCAAATTGTGATTGTACTGTAGAAAACTTTTCTTTCCTCCTACTCGTTCCCCCAGGAAATTCCTTCCCTTGGTGAGAGCTCTAGCATCAGGGAGTGCTGGGCAACTGCTGCTCTCAGCACAGTAAGACCTGATGTCAAGGTTTACAAAGCACAGCTGTAAAAATCCCAGTAGTGATCAGTGTCTCCTGTCAACTGGCAGGTTCATTGTCGGCACTCTTAGCTGAGCATTAATATCTAACCCTTGGAACAAGGGGACTTAGCTGAAGTACAGAAAAAGTGTTAGTATCATTAACATGTCATTGTTCATCCAAGCCTGCAAGGTCTGGTTGATGTCAGGCCGCCTTTTAGGTGGTAGTGATGCTTTTAATAAAGGGGGAAATGCGCAAGGTTTAATGGTGTGTAGTTTAGTTTGTCACTGATATGGCCAAGATGACTTTTGTTGCCTTTTGTTATTAGTTTGTTTAGTGTTATGCTATACTCCTTTGCATCCCTCTACTGTAGTTGCTTGCTTTTTCACTATGCAGTGCGAAAAGCTCTCACTGAAGTCTCTTAGGCCCTTTAGAGGTTAAGGGGAAGGCAGACTCTTAACAGTCTTTCAAAATGACCTGGAAAATGGGGTGGAAATGCCTCCTAGGCTGTGCCTTTAGAAATGTTATAACAGAGGGTGTTTTTTGTTTGTTTTTTTTTATGTTGTACATAGAAAGCCCTGAGGGAATTTGCAAAGGATGTTACTTGGTTTGTTTTTTCTCTTAGAAACTCACTTTTTTCTTAAGCACAAGGGCAACACTGATTTTGAAATTCTTAATAACATAACCTATATCCAGCTCCTCTCAACCTGCCAGAGTGCCCCAGTCTGCTGAGTTCCTTTATTAGCAACTTAGGAACACACATTAAAAACTCTGTTCTGTTTCCCAACATGCACGCTGCTGGTGGTGCTGCAGAATTCCTGGTTTCAGCTAGATGACTTTCCCAAAGTGCTTTTAAAGAAATGCAAACAGGTAGGCAAAGCAGTCCATTTTGCATCGCACATAGTCTAGACAAAGTCAAAGATACGCTGTTAATTTGCCTTGAACTTCAATGGGCATTTTCCTGTTTGAAATTTAAAAAATGAGTTTTGGTTGGTATATGTAGTGTTTTTGCAAGTTACTATTGTCAAAGCCTATCTCTAGCACATGCAAATATGGTGGTCCGTCACCATTAAGGAACTGGTGGCTTATGAAGTGATCTGCGTGCTTAGACCCTTTCTGGATGCAAACAGCTGTAAAAATCCACCCTGGTGCAGAGACCAAAGGAGAGACTGCACAAGGGAAAACCCCCTCCGCTGCCTGCAGGGACTTCGTTGGAGGGCAGACCTAGGGATGGACTCCAGTAACCAGCTTCCCCCCTTTCAGTTCAGCTCTCCCCATAGCTCAGCTGTCAGGGTGAGAGTAGGTGGGACCTTGACCTTTGTGTAGCAGAGGCTGTGAGCGTTTCATTTGACCTCTCAGGAAAAGTGCCGTCGACGATGAGGAGCCCTTTTTGAGGAGCCCTCTTTTTTTCTTTTTTCTTTTTTTTTCTTTTTTGGGTCTTGTTAGAGAGCCAATAACAAATCTCACCTTCGCAATCCTTTGGCCTAAGTGAGGGGGTGGGGGGAGGGCAGCTAGCCGTGCTGGTCCTAGGTGCTCCTAGAAAGGGGGAAGAGAAGAAAAGTATTTTAACCCGCTGCGGCCTGAACATCAGAGCCCTGAGCCCAGGTTGGCAGGGTGCCATGGTTAACGCCGCTCTCTTCACGCTGCCTCAACGAACTGCGACGGCGGGAG